TTTCCCCTCCCCCCCCCCCCCCCCTCCCTCTTCCTTTTGTGCATTAACTTCTTTAATCTTGTTTTAGATTAGGGTGTGACCCATTTTTTTTTTTTGTAATGTTATTTGAAATTCTATTTGAAGTTTAATTGATAAATTTTTAGTTGAAATTCTATTTAGAAGTCCAATTAAAAATTGAAATTTGTGTTGGACTTGAAGATGTCTATATATGGAATAGGAAGAAATTTTTGAGTTTTTCTACTAGTTGGCGCTAACCTGTCGCTTAAACGCCACCAATGCCGTTCGCTTGACGCCTTCCTGGTGCTCGATTCGGTCCAAGCCCATTTTCGAGTTTTGAACATTCATTTTCATATATAACTCTACTTTTATGGTTTGAAAACTCTTCATTATATTTCAAATCAAGTTAGACAAAGTTGTAAATACAATTTTTTTGTATTTTTTCTTTATATTTTAGTGCAATTTCACTCACTCTGCAATTTATTTTGTTTTTGTGATCAATTATTTCATATTATGCCTATAATCTTGTATTTTCTTCAACAAACTGGTACCAGAGCAATTTGATATCATCTTCATTTTTTAACAAACTGGTATTAGAGCCAAAGGCTTGAAAATTCTTGGGAGATTGAGGTTTTGATTAAGTTAAGAGCTCAACTCGATCTTTTCTGATGGCAATCATAAAGTATGATATTTGGCTTTTGAATTTCAATACATGATTTTCGTTGCGGCAACTAAAGATGCGAACAGTATTCACTCATATGGATTTGAATGGCTTGTTGATGGGTTTTGACAAGATACCCACAACTTGAACATCGGAGGAGAAATAATGTAGGGATCGAAAGGCCCTATTTTAGATTCATCTTCATCTTTCAAATAATATTCTTCAAGCGTTTTGAAGGAGAAGTCAGCTGCTACATCATGGTTGAAATTTGAGCAATTATGCATGAATGAAGAGCATAATTAGCAAATTACATCTAAAGCAACGCTTATATTCAACATCGTATGACAGAAGGTACATTTTTTGAATATCACTTAACTGTTTTTAAGGAAATCACTGCTAATTTAGAAACCTCGGAGGTTAAATACGATAAAGAAGATTTGGGTTCGATTTGTTGCGTTCGTTGCCTGCTCATATATGTCAAGGTGGAATTTGTTAAAATTAGGGTGTGATCCGAATTTTATTTAGAATATTACTTGGAATCATATTCGAAGTCCATTTGGCAATTTACAGTTGAAGTTTTGTTTATAAGTCTAAATGGGAGTTAAAATTTTTGTTGAACTTGAAGAAGTCAATAATGGACCAGGAAGAAATTTTCGGTGCTTTCACTGCTTCCACATATACTTCTATTAGCACCATACAAATTATTACTAGATAATTATGGTTGATACAAGTCATGTGCAACGTGCTTTAACCCTTGTTTGGCCCAAGTTTTAATCAAAATTTAATTTGAATCAAATCAAAGTCAAATAATCAATATTAATTACATCTTTCATTGTCTCACAACTTTTCAACCACAGATTTCAAAAACTTCTATCAAAATCTACTAAAAATCTAATTTAAATTCTCACTAAATATCCTGTTAGTTTAGCCAAACGACAAGATGACACCAGAGGGCCAATGGAATCCCTATAACCATTGGACCATTTGATGTGAACTTTGTTATGCTCAATTCTCCGTTAAGTCTAAGTTAGCTAGACCTTTAGCAATACAATACGACATGATATTATATATCATCCTTCTTCCAATAGGAATTGATGATATTTCATCAGCATTGCGAAAGCGAGCCTCTCGAGGCATATAGTGCTGATGAAATAATCTTTAAATGAATTAATTAATATTATTTAATAATGTAAACCCTTGTTTAGCTACTCATTTTCTCAAATTTATTTTCATTTAAACATTTCATGAAAATCATACCTTTTATAAAATTTTCAACCACATATCATTAACTTTTAAGTAAAGTCTACTATATGCAGCCCCTGTTTGACAACCGTTATAACACATTCTTTTCTCAAACTCATTTCAACCATTCATTTTCACGATAAACTATTTAGCACATAACTTCAAAATTTTTCCTACTTTTTAACTGCACATTTAAAAAAAAAAAATTCACTATTTTAAACTCATTTAGTTAAAAAAAAAAAAAAACTCATTGTAATGATTGTCAAATGGGGGAGAAATATGCATGACTCAACCATGTTAATGTTAATGTTAATGTTAATGTTAATGTTAATGTTTGACGTATATTTTCCTTTCAAAAATGTTGCACAAAATAAAAATAATTGTTAAATACACCATACAAGTTAATTCGTCCCTTACAAGACTCCATTGACTTGTCCTCAAACAACTCAGTTGATAAAGCACTTGCAGTTACTGTCTTTTTATTTTAATCAATTATTTAGCGAGTAATAATTATGCGAGAGCCCCTGTTTAAGCAAAGCCAAACATACAGAAAGCTCCTGGTTTAAGCAAAGCCAGCAGGGAAGACTGGACTGGAGGACCCTCGCCACTTTCTTGGTCTATATATCATTGTGAAACAAAACTCTTCGTTGCCATTACCACACGTCCCTAGTTCATTTTTCTTTAGCGTTCGAGCAACTAGTCTTCAATATTTATTGCTATTTCCACGAATTCAAAAGCACATTTCTTGCCTTTAGTTTTACTTTTAGAACCAGATATGGTAGACGTAGAAATTGAAGGTAATTCCTTATGGATAGAGCTCTTTCAAACCAAGAAGAAAGAGAGGCCACTGTGCAGCACCGGCCAAAGCTCAAGCCTTTTTCACTTCTGAAGCAGACTACAAATTCAAGAAATTTGGACACGGTTTCTACATTGTCATTTTGGGCATCAAAATCTTTAGAATATTGAAAAATAGAGCCACCGTAGTGAATAACTCTGTTTATTGTGCTTCGACCAGTTATCTTGAGGCTACAATGGAGGGTTTGGTAACTGATAATGAAATAGTAGAAGAGGGAAATGTTGGGTTTTGTGAGAATAGGGATAAATTTGGCGCCTTTGTGGATGTGAACGAAGAGGATAGTAGTTCAACTTCTGATTTTCTGGCTTCTGAGATTACTAGGAATAATGACAACAGTAGTTCTGTGGATTCTTCTTCACCCCCTTCAATGGGTTGGTTAATGCAGAAGAATGAAATGCCACATTGTGTCAAGTCTGATGTCTCTGAAGAGGTTGAGAAACTCCATTTGGATAACGGAAAATTAGAGAAGCAAGGGTCCTCTTTGTCAGGTACTAAGAACATGCTTGGAGTGCCCGGTAGACAGACTGGACAGTAGAAGGGACAATATTCTATTTTTGTTTTGCTATATTGTCTAATCCTGTCCGCTGAATCTTGCCAAACATGACCTAATTGTTCATATATCTTTCATTTTTCACTTATATTGACAATGTGTTTGCATGTGCATATGCGCTTTACATCATCATATATTTCAATTGATTGATATAGTTCCATGAACTTTCTTGTTGTGTAGAAGTTGCGATGATGAAAGAAAGATTTTCAAAACTGCTGCTTGGTGAAGATATGTCTGGTTGTGGAAATGGGGTTTGTACTGCTCTGGCTATATCAAATGCTATTACTAATCTTTGTGGTATGTTCCTTAAATACTACATTATTATCAATAATTTAATAAGTTTGCTTAATTTGAGATTGTAATTATTCGGTTATGATTAGTGTGTGCAACTTGTGCCTTATTGGTATTTATTGTTTCATTAGCTACACTTTTTGGGCAAATTGGGAGGTTAGAACCATTACCAACTCAGAAGAAGCTTATGTGGAGGAGGGAAATGGAGTGGCTTCTTTGCGTTAGTGATCACATTGTTGAACTGATACCTTATTGGCAGACATTTCCCGACGGAAGCAAGCTTGAGGTATTTTAATAAACTTGGAACCAATGAATTGAATATCTCATTGTATTATTGTCCGGTACATCAAATGCTTGAGGGTTGCAAGATTCCGATTAAGATGTATTAGCTTTAATCTTCTTGTTTATATGAACTGTGTTTTTATCACTCTTATGAATTCTGTAACAAGGTTTTGTCCATGCTTTGATTCAGATTATGACTTCCCGACCACGGTCAGATCTATACATTAACCTGCCAGCCTTACGGAAATTAGATCATATGCTACTAGTAAGATACTTGTCTTTTCTTCTTGATTGATCTCCTGTACAATTTTCAAGTATTCTAAATTTTAGTCTTGTTTCATAGGAAATATTAGAAAGCTTCAAAAATTCAGAGTTCTGGTATGTCGACCAAGGTATTTTAGCGCCAGAAGCTGATGGAACTTCCTCTTTCCACATGCCACTTCCCCATCAAAAGGAAAAATGGTGGCTTCCGGTTCCTTGTGTCCCAGCTGGTGGCCTCAGTGAAGAAGCAAGAAAGGGGCTACAGCATTGTCGTGATTGCACAAACCAAATACTTAAAGCTGCATTGGCTATCAACACTTCTGCTTTAGCTGAAATGGATATTCCCGATGCATATCTGGAAGCTCTTCCTAAGGTATTGATGTACTCAGAGCATGCTTGGCTGTGCCTAAGATTTACATTTATAGAAAGTATTCTCTGGAAAAGTAAGCTTTATTAGTAGAGCGCTTAAATTTGAATATCACCGTTGGCAAAATAACTTAAAAGCAATTTTCACTTTCTTTTGAGTACAGCCAATCGTGCTTGGAAACATGCACATCTGTTATTAATTGATTGAAAGAGCACGTTATTTACTCATTCTCCACCATTGTGGTTGTTATTGTGGCAGAATGGAAAGGCGAGTTTGGGGGATCTTATTTATCACTACATAAATTCAGTTAAATTTTCACCAGAATGTTTGCTCGACTGTCTTGATTTGTCTTCTGAGCATCATGCTCTAGAAATTGCGAACAGGGTTGAGGCCTCAGTCTATGTGTGGCGCAGAGAACCAAACTCCAAACCATTACAAAGGGCGCAAAGATCCAATTCAAAGTCATCATGGGGAATGGTCAAGGATTTTGTGATTGATACAGACAGGAGAGAACTGCTTGCCGACAGAGCCGAAAGCCTGCTGCTTTGCTTGAAACAACGGTTTCCTGGGCTCCCTCAGACCTCTCTGGACATGAGCAAAATCCAATATAATAAGGTTTTACTTGAAACACGATGCTTCGTCACATTATTTGGTGGCTTTCTTTCTTTTCTTTAAACGCCTCTTTGTTAAAATTTGGCCGTCTACCATTATTAACACGTCATCCTCTAGGATGTCGGCAAATCCATTTTGGAGAGCTACTCAAGAGTTCTGGAGAGCCTAGCGTTCAATATAGTGGCACGTATTGATCACCTACTCTACGTGGACGACTTCACTAAACATTCAGATAAACTCTTGCAACTCTCCAACATTGGGATGATGGCTCATAAGAGCGTTGGCATTCGACTCCCTGTGCCAGCCCTTTCCAGCACGCCGTACAAAACTGCTTTTGCAACACCAAGGTTCTCACCTGCACAGCACACAAGTCCTGCGAAGGGAGATAGATCACCATATACTGAAAGCAACAAACTTTCCCTTCACGGATTTGGCGTGAAAAAGGTTTTGACAAATTATTTGAGCATTGATTCAAAGGGGAAGGAACTGAGCAACCTTGGAAGATCAGATTCTTTTTCGAGTACAACTCGGGAAACATCGGCATCTCCTTCAGTTGAGTCTTGCAGGAGTTTAAAAGAGGCTGGTAGTCCCCAGACACACTACTCAGTTGGAGAAGAATGAAAAAATTAGACCATATATATTCCTTCATGCGTCTTCTTTTTCTCTTTTGTTTCCTAGCTACATATTATTTAATTCATTTATCAAGATTGTCTGCTGAGTGCTATGTATTTTCAATATACAATCGCATTTTTGAAGTTGCAGCTATTGAACTGACTCGATTGTGAGAAAAAAGGCATTAGTCTTTGATCCTTGCCCCTTGAAATGAATTAATCCTTTTTTGTTTGAGCTCATTGTGGAGTGTGAATTGTCAGTATTGGCTACTCAACAAAAAAGGGTACTGAGTTAACATAACAAATAAAGTTGAGGCAAGGCCAATGATTTCATAGTCGCTCAACGTAGTATCCTATATGACGGTTTGTGATTTGATGTATTAATGTAATAATTTTTTTTTTTTTTAATTTTCTCATGCATCAAATTATTAATCTTCACATGGTATGTTACGTAAGACAATTGCAATAGTGAATGATTACAAAGAGCATTGTTTTTTCATATAATGTTGCAATTATAAATGAAAAAGATGAGCCTCCAAACCTTTTTCCTTGACAATACATACTTTTTCAACGTAAATCGATACTTTTCTTTTACTGTAGAACATGTATCTGTTGTAAATATTGGAGGGATGCAGAAGAAATAAAAAGGAAATTCACAACAAGTATGGCAACAATAGGAACAAAATCAAAAAATTGTAACTACAAATGTGAAGGCTTGAACGCGGTATCGCTGTCCTCAAACGTTATTTGCCTCTTCTTCCGTGTTTATGAGATGCTTAAGGGTATTTCAGCAAATGGTTTGAAAGATTGTAACAAGCCTTGTAAAGAATTTCACCAAAGCACAAAGTGAAATTCTTCCAAAACTTGAAGAACACGAAGATAGAATGAATATGAATATAAATCAAGACTTGATTGTTTTTGGAACAAAGTATGGATTGTAAGATATTTTCAATGTTTGTAATGTATTTGTTTTGATCATTCATCACCTATTTATAGGCCTCAATCAATACATCATGAAATGGTGCCAAAACAAGATGAAAAGTAACAACTTTTAATCTAAAACGACTCCTAAGTCTCAAATCGAAAAATCAGCCAACGGCTATTTTTTAACACGATGCGTACACATAGTATAAACCTTGTGTACGCATAGTAGAAGCAAAATTTAATTCTGATTTTGTCAAAACACATCTCGTGTATGCACAAAAATAAGCATGTGCGTACGCATAGGCAAAAAATCAAAATTTGCATGTTTCAATTTCTTTTAATTCTACCAATTCCACAATTGAGCCCAACAATTAGTCCATTATCATTCCATTGATTTTGAACAAATATTCAACAATCCCCAACTTGTTCAAAAATCAATACGATCACATATTCAAAAAGACGACACTTATGCATAAGGATTAGATGTCTTTCGATTTGAATTTAACCATACTGTAATTAGAACAAAGTAAAGTCGGAATTAGAGGTAGCGTGGAAGTTTTGAACCAATTATTCCTTATGACAATACCAATAAGAACACAACATAAGTATCACGTGTTCTCAAGTTCATCAACTCGCTTAGCGCTTTTATAACCTTGCGCTCATCCTATTCAATGAACTTTTAAGAGAGAAACTCCAACTTTCTATTGAGGCGGCACCATCTTGAAGTTCATTTAGGTGAAGTTCTTCCAATATCTTTGTTACTTTTAGAGATATTTGTGTTTTAGCATTGAACTTCATTAAGAGTTTTAAGCTCAACCCTCACTTCAATAACAACTAGCATTATTTAATTAGGATAGGGTCATTGCGGATTTAAATAATGTTGCAGCTATCCACATATACAATGACTTGTTGTTACCCTTTGAACCCATGGATTACCTTTTGAGTAATGACAGGTAGGGTTGTCGTTATTGGTGGACCTTTTTAGTTAATGAGTTTCAACCCCATCCTACTCAAAGTAGACGCCACTAAATCTTTATTTAGAGGTTTAGTCAAAGGATCAACCAAATTCTCAATTGACCTTATATAATTTAGGAAAATTATTCCATTTTTGATTAATTTCCTTATGTAGTCATGTCTTAGACTCATATGTCTAGACTTTCCATTATATACTTCATTGTATGCTTTTGCTAATGTGACTTGACTATCACACATAATAGATATTGAAGAAATATTCTTCGATCCCAAAGGTATTTCATAAAAGAGATCCTTAAGCCACTCAGCCTCTTTCCCGGTATCCGATAGTGCTACAAATTTAGATTTCATGGTTGAGTGTGTTATGCGTGTTTGCTTCTTTGATTTCCAAGAAACAGCACCTTCTCCTAGAGTGAACACCCAACTCGATGTGGATTTACTTTCACCCGTGCTAGATATCGAACTAGTATCGGTAAATCCTTCCAATATCGCCAGGAATTTATTATATTATAGACCTAAGTTCTTGATTTTCTTTAAGTATCCAAGAACTCTCTCAGTGTCTCTCCAATGATCATTGTTTGGATTGCTAGTAAATCTACTAAGTTTACTAATTGCATATGCTATATCTGGTATTGTGCATTGAACTGCATACATAACACTTGCAAGAGCACAAGCATATTCCAATCGAACAATCGCCCTTTAATCATTCTTTACGAGTTTTGAATTGGGATCAATTGAGGTACTATATTCTGTTATGTTCAAGTGTTTGAATTTGTTTATCACATTCTCAATATAATGTGATTGACTTAGGTGAGAACCTCCACTAGTCTTTGTGACTTTGATAATGAAAATGGTATTCATCTGTCCAAGATCCTTCATCTTGAATGTGGAAGATAAAAACATCTTCGTTTCTTTTATACCGTCCATGTAATTACTTATAATCAACATATCATCAACATACAAGTATATAAATATCACGTAATCATTACACATTTTAGAATATAAACATTTATCTACGCTATTATGTTTAAATTCAAATGATATTCTTGTTAAGTCAAACTTCTCATGCCATTTCTTAGGTGCCCGCTTCAAGTCATATAATGATTTTACTAACTTGCATGCCTTATGTTTATTTTCAGGTAGAACGAACCCTTCAAGTTACTTCATATAGACCTCCTCATCGAGATCCCCATTTAAGAATGCCGTCTTGACATCCATTTGATGAACATGCAAGTCATATATTGAAGTCAATGCGAATGATATCCTAATTGATGTTATTCTAGCTACTAAGTGTCAAAATAGTTGATTTCTTCCTTTTTTTCGATATCCTTTGGTTACTAATCTAGCTTTGAAGGTATTTAGAGAACCATCAACATTATATTTCTTCCTAAATACCCATTTACATCCAATAGGTTTGGATCCTAGTGGTAAATCGACAAGTTCCCAAGTTTTATTAGACATTATCGAATCTATTTTATCTTTAATTGCATCTTTCCAAAAAAATGTTATCACGAGAAGCCATAGCTTCTTTATATGTTTTAGGGTCGGTTTTCACTTGTAGAACAAAAGGAATTGTTCTTACAACATTCAACTCATTTCCTTCTACTAAGTAAAAGGATATAAGTTGAGAATCAATTTCATCCGACCCCAAAGATTTCTTAACTCGAGTTCTCTTGCTTATTCGTGGTTCACTAGACTCATCAATATCTTTAGAAGACATTTCATCACGTGTTCCACTTGAACTAGGAATATTTTTAATATTTTCCCTCAATTCATTATCTGATGATAACAAATTTTCAAAGAATTCTACATCACTTGATTCGATAATCACATTTATCTCCAAGTTTAGCAATCTATAAGATTTGCTATTATTAGCATATCCAACAAAAGCACAATTAATGCCTCTTGGACCCAATTTGGTCCTAATAGGATTTGTATTTTTGCAATAAGCAAGACATCCCCACACTTTGAAATATCCAATGTTCGATTTTCTTCCTTTCTACAATTCATAAGGAGAAACCATTGTATATTTAGAGGGAATCCTATTAAGTATCCTACATGCACTTAATAAAGCTTTACCCCATAAATTAAACGACAACTTAGCATATATAAGCATGACATTAATCATTTCTACTAAGGTCCTATTCTTTCTTCCAGCCAAACCATTTTGTTTGTGTGTTCTAAATGCAAAACATTGGTGAATTATGCCATGTTATTCACAATATAAATTAAATTCACTAGAAAAGTATTCACCACATCTATCAATTCTTAGGGTCTTTATTTTCCTTCCTAGATGATTTCAACTTCATTTTTATACACCTTAAATATGTCAAAAGCTTCATATTTATATTTCATCAAGTACACATACGTATTTCTAGAAAAATCATCAATAAAAGTAATAAAGTATCTATTTTCACCTCTAGCTAACATGCCATTTAATTCACATATATCTGTATGAATTAATTCCAAGATATTAGAGGTCATTTTCACACTTTGATATGACCTTTTAGTCATTTTTGATTCTACACATGTTTTGCATTTATGTTCATTATTTTCATCGTATGAAATCAAATCACATTTTTTTATACGTTTCATAGTGTTTTTACTAATATGTCCTAATCTAGCATGCCATAATGAAAATAGATCAACAACATAAGCGAAATTAGTTTTATTCATTTCCTTGTCAACGGTACAAAGTTTGACCATTCCTTCACTAGAATAGCCTTTTCCAACAAAATTTTCATTAAGGGAGAGTACAAGTTTATCGGATTCGTACACACATTTGATATCCGATTTTCCTAAGAGATTATCATTTACTAAGTTCCTATTCATATCTGGAACATGTAATACATTGGTAAGGATAACGATTTTCCTGGAAGTGAAGATGATATCAATATTTCCCTTTCCAATAACCTTGGATCGAACTTCGTTGCCCATTTGAATCTCTTGGTCTCCATCCACCTCATGATATGTTTTGAATACAATTTTGTCATATGATACATATACAGTAGCACAAGTATCATACCACCATCTAGGAAACTTTCCCTTGATTGCATTTATTTCGCTTACGGTGGCCACGATTTTATCTTCTTGGATGGAGTTCACTTTGCCCTCGAAGTTGTTTTATTTTCGGTGTTTACAATCTTTTGCATAATGTCCATATTTTTCACACACAAAACACTCTCATTTGGTCTTCTTCTTGGATTTGTTAAAGTTCCTCGAAGTTTTCCTCTTGTTGGATTTTGTTGGCGGTTCAGATTTTTCAACAGCATTAGCTTTGGAAGTTCCCTCAAAGGAGTTTTTACTCTTGTCACGCAATTTGGATTCTTCTTTGATCCGAAAATGATTTTGCAATTGTTCTAAGGAATAATTTTCGAAACTATGCATGATTTTCTTCCTATATCCTTTCCAAGCCTCTGGGAGTTTAGCAATTATGGCTCCCGCTTGAATGGTCTTCGGGATTTCAATCTTTACTGTTTTTAGTTTGTTGACAATGACTTGCAATTCGTGTACTTGGGGAAGAAGAGGGATATTATCAAGGAATTTAAAATCGAAGTATTTAGAAATTAGAAACTTCTTGCTACCTTCCTCTTCTGCTTTGTACTTATTCTCCAATGCTTCCTAGATTTCCTTGCAGAAGTTGTGTTTGTGTATAAGTCATATAAACGGTCCGACAAAGCATTTAGTATGTGACCGCAGCATATCAATTCATCTTCTTGTCGTTTCTGTCTTTCAACCTTGACTGCCTCAGTCTCTCCATTTGTAGGTTTCGGTAGTGGAGCCAATTCTGGATCCAAAATATAGAAGATTCTCAATGCAGTAAGTAGAAATTTCAACTTGTCTTGCCACCGCGTAAAGTTTGTACCATCCAACCAATCCAACCGCACCAGTCTTGATTCATAAGTTTGATGGTTGCCATTGTAGTCTCGTTCTCCATTTCAGGCAATTAACGTTTGAGATTGTTGTAAATATTTGAGGGATGCAGAAGAAACAAAAAAGGAAATTCACAACAAGTATGGCAACAATGGGAACAAAATCAAAAAATGGTAACTACAAATGTGAAAGCTTGAACGCGGGATCGCTGTCCTCAAACGTTATTTGCCCCCTCTCCGGTGTTTATGAGATGCTTAAGGGTATTTCAACAAATGATTTGAAGGATTGTAACAAGCCTTGTAAAGAATTTCATTGAAGCACAAAGTGAAATTCTTCCAAAACTTGAAGAACATGAAGATAGAATGAATATGAATGTAAACCAGGACTTGATTGTTTTTGGAACAAAGTATGGAATGTAAGATGTTTTCAATGTTTGTAATGTATTTGTTTTGATCATTCATCACCTATTTATAGGCATCAATCAATACATCATGAAATGGTGCCAAAACAAGATGAAAAGTGATAACTTTTAATCCAAAACGGCTCCCAAGTTTCAAATTGAAAAACCATCCAACGGCTATTTTTTAACACTATAAGTACGCATAGTATAAACCTTGCGTACGCATAGTAGAAGAAAAATTTAATTCTGATTTGCCAAAACACATCTCGTATAAGCACAAAAATAAGCATGTGCGTACGTATAGGCAAAAAATCAAATTTTGCATTTTTCAATTTCTTTGGATTCTACCAATTCCACAATTGAGCCCAACAATTATTCCATTATCATTCCATTGATTTTGAACAAATATTCAACAGTATCGACTTGTCGTTGTACTATAATGGTGAGTATTCCCGTCTGTTACGTGGGTGACCCAATTTCGATCCTCATCAACGCGTCTTTGTTTTTTAACTTAAGAAACCTCTATATTTTAATATATTATGAAGTAGCAGTACAATGAATAAGAAGTCGTTGTAGTGTAGTGGTAAGTAGTAGCGCCAGTCACGCGGATGACCCAGAGTCTTTTTTACTTCACTGCCATTTAAAAACTTGCCGCGCTGTTTGGATAGGTTTAGAAAAATTATAAATGATCTCAGAAAAGTGAAAAACAAAAATGAAAATGGAGGGTTTATTTTACTAAATATCAATATAAATTTTTTTTTTTTTTAAAGAAAGAAAGGAAATTGCATCTTTAAATACTTAAAAATCAATAATACAATTTAGTGCTTAAAAATAGTAAATAATCTTTTTAAAAAATAAGAATTTGTATTTAGAGATTCAATTTCAATAATAGTTATAAACAATGCATTTTAGTTCTTAGAAATACGAAATGATTGTTTTTAACAAATAAGAAATTGCATCTTTAAATTTTATTTCACCAAAGTGTGAAACGTGTTGTTTTGATGAAAAAAGCAAACAAACTAGGAGAGCCTGAGCCTAAATACTAAAAAACAAGTTCGAGGGCCAAAATATAGATATTTAGGACTCTTTAAGTACCAATATCTTAATAAAATGACTTAATGATCTTTGTGACACCTATACTATGTAAGGTACAATATATCATATAGTTATAATTTTAATTTTGATTTCATAAATTATACTCAAAGTGTCATTTATAATTAAATTTAATTTTGATATACTTAGAATTCATCGAGAATATATCTCGTATCTTTTTTCTAAAGAGTTTATTATTTGTGTCCAATCGGATAAAATTTTTGTCCAAGTGTTTTAAGTTGTAAAATGTTTATTGTTTACACTAATGGGGTGGTTGGCCAAAGTTGGACAATGAGTACGAGGACAAATGGTTTATCCACTTATATTAGTTGGTAAATATATTTTGAGCATAAGAGTGAAGTTGCCAAATGTCAGGAATTTTTCACTATTCGTAATCAAGATGTTATCATATGTATGGATGCAAAGGAAAGTGTCTGAATGGATCTTCATGAACTCCAACGTTGATTGGAACAAAAAAACATCAAGTTTTTTGAATAAAACTAAATACATTTGGGAATGTTCCACAAAGGTTTGGATTGGATCGCAGGTAACTTGTTGAACTTAGCTAACATCAAATTTCTTTATTTTCATTTTTCAGCAGTTCAATTTTAGAAAAGGGCAAAAAAAAAGTTAAAATCTTATTTTAATTAATGAACACCGACCAAATTCTTAGTGCTACAAAAAGTAATTGGGGTGTGAATTTAGTGCTAACACCATTAGGACAAAGTGCATCTACCACAATAATTTTCTCCCCCCAAAATTGCACTATAAATTCGATCAACTTCCAGAAGTGAGCTCACAACTTGTTTCACTATACATTTAATACACAAAAATGGTGGGTTCATTGAAAGTTTTCTACATTCTTGTTTTGCTTGTGATTGTTGGTACTGTAAATGGCGCAGGGCCTTGCGGCAAATCCAGTCCAGATGAAGAGGCCATGAGCTTAGCACCTTGTGCAACAGCAGCACAAGATATCAATGCTGCTGTTCCAAGCAGCTGCTGCGCCCAGGTCAAGAGAATTGGGCAGAATCCCAGTTGCCTTTGCGCCGTTATGCTCTCTGATACTGCTAAGAGTTCTGGTGTCAAGGCAGAAATTGCCTTGTCCATTCCAAAGCGTTGCAACTTTGTAAATCGGCCTGTTGGCTACAAATGTGGACGTAAGCTACCATGAACTATATTTTAACCATTTTTTTTTTTTTTTTTAACTTTTCTGATTCTGAATTTTAACTATGTTCTTTGCAGCTTACACACTACCTTGAAGGGATCAAGAAACTTTGGAGTGGACTGAAGTTATGTAAGAAGCCAATAATTGCTGTTTTAGTAGTGATTACAGCACATAATAAAAGCAGCTATGCGCTGCTCTAATTCTGTATCTACTTAATATTTTATGAGATATGAAATATCCTTTTTTCTGTTCAACTATCACTGGACTATTGCGTCATTATTGAATAATTTAATGCTATAAACTCTCTGAAATGAATATTATAAAACCAGTTTTACATTAACATTCAATCGATCATTGACTATGGGCAGGCCCTCTAGAAGCTTGAATTAAGGTTTAATAACTCAATTGGATAGACGAAGACACCTAACCAAAACCCTATTTTTTTTGTTGACTAATTCCCACCCTTATTCTCATCCTAGATAATCAACCTTCAGTTCATCAGGCAAGATGTTGTCACGATCTTTTAGCGAAATTTCATGTTGATTATTGAATCCGCTATATGTTTAAGTTAGTCATTAAACTTAAACGTTGTCTCAAGTTGATCATTATGCCCATATTGGTTAGTTTGATCAATAAATTGATGATGTGAACATCTGTTATTTGTCAACTAATTTGTCACATCAATCTTGCATTATTCAAACTAACAAATATGGACACACGTAATCTACTTAATTTATGGATCAAAATGAAGTTTAATAATGAGATAAGTGATAAAGGTGCTTTTAACCTGGACATGAACACTGTACTCAACCACTAACCTTAAATGTTTGAATTTGATAGTATACAAAAGGTTTTTTGTTTCATACAATAATATAAACACATATCGGTCTAGGGATGATGTCGACTTTCTTCTTCCAGAGGTCCTTTCAGCCGCAGAACACAATCCCAAATCATGAATTTCTCGGTTTAAAAATTAACAAAAAGAAAATAGTAAAATCATCCTACATATTCCTGTATATATTTATGTGTCAAAATAAAGGAAGATGTGTATATTAATACAGAAGACATGTACACAGACTATTGCAATTTCCATGGAAGGCAGTGGAGCTTGGAGCAAGATCCAACCCAAGTATCTGTACATTCTTCTCTACCAGAAGAACCAGCAGCTCCATCACAGCACTGACAAACCACTCCAAGGGTAGCAAAAATCTTCGAGTGCCCTATAAATCATTCCACAAAACTGATCAACAAAATTATCCCAATTCATAAAATCAATTATGTATGAACTAGACGATAAAGTAGGAAAAGAAGTTAAAATGCTTCGGAAAACAGAAACAAATAACAGAGTATGGGTTTTTACTGTTTTGAGGTGGGAAGGGCAGTGGCCTAGCTTCTGCACTTATAGTTTCTCGAGATGCAAAACTGAAAACAACAAAAACCAACACTAAAGGTGGACAAGGCTTAAAGAAACCCATTCTCTTGTGCTTTAATTTGAACGTTTAAATGTTTAATGAGATGTGGTATGGTTCGTAATGTCTTGTGTTTTTATATTAGTGTAAGATGGGGTCTTTGTTTAAGGTAGAAAGTTGGAACGTTCCATTTGAGTTTAAGCATATGAAACAAATTTGTCCCTTCTAGAAAAGGGGATACAGACGAAAAAGAGCCCAAGCCCCACGCGTCAACTACTCCTTTTGATTGACAGCTTCTATTTATACAAATTAACGGGAATAATACTCTCTCTTGTGTTTTGTTTTTTTTATTTCTCTAGATTTTAAACCAGTACAACGTAGTTTTTGGGAGCATAGGATGACTAAAACCAAAACAAACAGCTATTTAAAATTGCACCAGATCTTTCTCAACTCGACTGCATCCATTTAGACGCTTACAATATTTGTAATTGTATTTGTTGAAATATTGACCATAAAAGTTACTTGTAAGCATATAATTATATTTGCTGATATATTGAAACTCATCTACCCAAAGTATAGTAGCATTTGTGGGAGGAAATAGGGGCAGATGGCCGGATGTCCAGTGCATTTTTTCAAATGGCCGTTGACTGTATATGAAAAAACGAAAAATCATTAAAACCAATAAAAATAATGAAAATCCATTTTTGCCCTCACACCGACCTAAAGAGTGAAAAAAAGGGGAAGTTCCTGTAACAAAACCGCCGCCTATAAGCAAGGAAAACCGACGATCCAGATCGGAGCTTTCCATTTCTGTGAAGAAAGTAAGCTTTGAAACTCTTGTCTACCACTAATCTTTGATTTCTTGAATTGTTGAGGGTTTATTTGTTGAAAATTCAGTTAAAAAATGGTTTTCCAGACGGCCGTCTCGGACTTTTTTTTCTAATTTAATTTTTTTTCGTTTTATCTAAATAAAATATAAATAAACAATTTAAATAAATTATTTAAATAAACAAAAAAAAATAATGAACATTTAAATAATAAATAAATGTTTATTTAAATAAATAAATAAATAATACATAAATATAAATAATCAAAATAAGTAATTAAAATTCAAATAAACAATCGAAATAAATATCTAACATTTAAAAGAAATAATTAAATATTTAAGTTTAAATGTTCAATAAATTATTTAAATAACTAATAAATATAAATAATTTAAATGAACAATTGAAACAAATAATAAAAAGAAAAAACTACAATAAATAATGAACATTTAAATAATAAATAAAATATTTAAATAACCAAGAAATATAAATATTCAAAATAATTGAATTAAATAAGTAATTAAATATAAATAATCAAAATTAGTAATTAAATATTAAATAAACAATTTCAATCGAACAATAATCATAATCTAAATAACAAATAAATAATTTAAATAATAAATAAATATAAATAATCAAAATAAATAATTAAAATTTAAATAAACAATTGAGATAAATATCTAACATTTAAAAGAAATAATTAAATATTTACGTTTAAATGTTCAATAAATAATTTAAATAACCAATAAATATAAATAATTAAAACAAATAATTTAAATGAACAATTGAAACAAATAATAAAAAATCAATTACAATAAATAATGAACATTTAAATAATAAATAAAATATTTAAATAACCAAGTAATATAAATATTAAAAATAATTGATTTAAATAAGTAATTAAATATAAATAATCAAAATTAGTAATTAAATATTAAATTAACAATTTCAGCCAAACAATAATCATAATCTAAATAATTAATTAAATAATGAATAAATGTAAATAATCAAAATAAGTAATTAAAATTTAAGTAAACAATTGAAACAAATTAATTGAAGAATTGAAATAAATAATAAATAATTAAGATAAACAATTAAATAAATAATTTCACAAAAATTAAATTTTCGATTTTTATAATATGTTGTTTAATTTTTAATTACGCTCATTTTCTTTATTCTATTATCTGTTATTTCTTGTGTTTATTAGTTACAGTTCAATTAATTTAATTTTGTAATATTATGCTTTATCCATTTTCAATTTACAATGTTTTAACATTTAAAATTTTACAGGATGTATTATCATTTGGAAGTCGCTATGAGATAGATTCCTAGCAAAGTTACGTCGAACTGTAACTTTGTCAGCTTTATATCAATATTGGATTCATTGGACGAGGAGCACACAGAGATATTATGTCGATCCTACTTATGGCCCCTGTATTTGCTGTGTTTTGTATAATTTTTCTGGACAGTTGCTCGATTCATTACTATGTCGACTGCTTAAACTAGTTGACGAAGATGCCTTCCATTTTGATCTTGAGGGCAAGATTGCTACATTTTCCATATTCGAGTTTGCCCTCATCACAAGATTGAGATGTATGGGCAAATAAGATGCTACTGAATAACTGTTTTAATGGGCACACAACAGTGACACTCCCCAGTTAGGAGATGCATTCAGGGAATGCGACAGATGTCCGACAAGTTGAAGTTGGGAATGTTGTTTATACTCAAAAGCGTATTGAAGTGTTAGCACAGAAAGACATCAATTGACTTTTTCAGTTGGAAGTTGTTGACGACATCGATATGTTCAACAGCTATCCATGGAGGCAAAGATGTGCCGATACTTTACGCATCTTTAGGATGGGATATTCGATGTAGCATTTAGCCCCCGTTTTGCCGCCATTTTCATTTTCATTCTTTTTTTCTCTTATTTTCAACCACACAATCTTTTATAAAATAATATTACATGCAAATAAAAAACTTTTCAATTTTTTTCAACCACCCATTTTTTTTTAAAAAAAAAAACACTATTCCAACCGTTAAAATTTGAAAAAAATGGGAGCCAAACGGGGGCTTATTTAAATATTGTACATTTCATTCATTCATTTGTAATTATGAAATAATTGTAAAATGTATATTATTTATTTAATATTTAATTAATTGTTTTATAGTTTATATGTTTATTTAAATCTTTCATGATGTATTATAAATGTTTGTGTATAATGAATAATTAAATAAAGTAAATGAATATTCAATAAATAATATATGTAATTAATTAAAATAGTTAATGAAATATTTACGAGAAAATGAAATCAAATATTAAATAAACACGTGGAGACGCGGTGTATTTTAAAAAAATTTCAAACACTACGATTTCAAATAATTAACATAAATCATATGCATAAATAATATGAATAATCAATGAAACTAATTAATTAAATATTTAAATAAAAAATTAAATCTAGTAATTAATATAAATAATATGCATAAATAATATACATTACCAATGAAACTAATTAATAAAATATTTAAATAAAAAATAAAATATAATAATTAACATAAATTATATGCATGAATAATTAACATCAATGTTATAAATAATTACATTATCAATATTTTATTAACAAATGTTAAATTTTATTAAAATAGGCTATCGAAATTAATGTTACATTGTCAACAATTACACATTTGTTATATTATCATGCAAATGGATCTGATTTGTATAAAATCTTCTAGTATGCTTTGTTGCATCACACCTACTGCAATTACGAGGTCGGAAAAATTATTCGGTAGATAGCATTTTAGACGTACGTGTACGTCCAGGAGCACGTGGTCCGACTGCTGATGGCAACAAGTTATTCAGTAAGAGAATATGGTCGGAAACTTCCCACTTGACTTCATTTGGTACAAGAAATATTATTTTGGCGTACGTTGCTCTCTAAGAATCATTCATGTAATAAGCAATGTATAAGGCGTGTGGTAGAAATCCTCTATACATAGCTACTGCCACTGCATGTGTACACAGAA